CATTCATTGATTCAACTAACACTTCTTGAGACTTGCTCTAAGCCAGTGTGTTCTCAACCTTCCTAATGCCGTGACCCTTTAATACAGTTCCTCATGTTGTGGTGACCCCCAACCATAAAATTATTTTTGTTGCTACTTCATAACTGTAATTTTGCTACTGTTATGAATCGTAATGTAAATATCTGATATGCAGGCTGTCTTTTCATTGTTACAAATTGAATATAATTAAAGCATAGTGATTAATCACAAAAACAATATGTAATTATATATGTGTTCACTTAACCACAGTCTCAAACTACTTTGTTCATTTATTTACTTGTTATTTGCCCACTAGAACTTAAGAACCACTGCTCTAAGCCAAGAACTGTATCCTCAGAGTGGAGGACAGTGATAAATAAGACAGACAAGATCCTTGCTCCATGGAACTTAAGTTCTAGTGGGAAAATAACAAGTAAATAAATGAATAAAGTAGTTTGAGACTGTGGTTAAGTGCTGTACATAAAAGTGGAAGAGTGATGTGAGAAAGAGACTGCTTCAGGGAGGGTGGCCACAGACGGCCCCCTGAAGAGGTATCTTTGAGCTGAGCCCAGAGTGAAGAGGAGCTGGCCAAGAGGATATCTGGAGGTAGCCTTGCAGGTGGAAGCAAGAACTTCTGGAAAGCTGCAAGAATGAGGAGAAAACAAGCTGTGGTGCTGAGGCTGAGCAAGCAAAAAGGAGAGCTAGCTGCATGGCCTGAGACAGGAGAGCGAGGCAGAGTGTATTGTGTGCTCAGTACGCGTTTATTGAGTGAATGAATGATCTAAGGATACAAAACTCCAAGTGTATCTTACTAGCATCTGGGCTGAACTTTCTTGCATTGACTGTGCATGGTGCCCATGGTGTCAGGGTATTTTCCTGTCACCCCTTGGCTGTCATATGATCTGTGTAGCTGAGTTTTAGCCTCTCTCCGTCTCCCCCATCCCACTCCCACTACAAATCTCAATTTAATGCCCTTTTATTCAGGCTGGCAAGTCTTGAGCTAACGAAATTTTCTCAGGGCTTGCTCAGTTAATTTCATTCCAGTATCACAGGCTGTTGTCCAAAGACAGACACTGTCTGCCAACACCAGATACATGCACAACCAGTCTGGCATTGCGTTTCTTCTCTCCTGGCTCCCAAACTCACAATCTCTAGTTCAGTTTGATGAGCATTTATTGAGTAACAATATTGTGAAGACACTGGCTAAGCAACGGTTAAGGGTGAGAGCTCTGGAGATGGTTCAGGTTTGACACTCTGTGTGTGAATCTGATCCTTTGTGACCCTCAGTTTCACCAACAATACAATGGGGATAATAATAGCATCTACCTCATGGACTGTGCATTGGGATTGAGATTAATCAAGTAACCCTCTCAACCTAGTGCTTGGCACATAGTAAGTGTTCAGTTAATGCTAGCTTAAATAAAGATTTTAAAAATGTAGTTTCTGCCTTGAAAGTGCTCTAAGCTAGTGAAATAGATGTACTTACAAAGCCAATTTGACAGGTACTGAATAGAGTATAAAGCAAGACCTGTTAGCTAGACATAGGGGAAGCAGTTAGTACTGACCAAATCAGAAAGAGATGCCGGAGGCCTCTAGGGGAGGCAACTACTGTGATGGTGACAACATCAGACTAAGGACAAGCCAGACTGAAGGAATAAAATTCATTGTTACTTCAATCAAAGCAACTGTGTACCTACTGTGTAAAAAGCAGTTAATGATCAAGGGATTAAAAATCCTATATAATAAAAGCTTAATATGCAAATCGACTGGTAGAAAGACAGGTGGAACGACTGGTCGCTATGATGTGCACTGACCACCAGGGGGCAGATGCTCAACGCAGGAGCTGCCCCCAGCCAGCAGGCCCCAGGCCAACCAAGGCGGGGAGGGGGGGGGCGGGGGGGGTCCTGTCTCCCTCCCCGCCCCCCACCCCCATCATCCCACAGATCAGCCCTGATTGCGGGCCAGGCCTAGGGATCCTACCCATGCACGAATTTTGTGTATCGGGCCTCTAGTAGTAATATAAAATAGAAAGTAATAAACACCTTAAGAGGTATATAAAGTACAAAGAATGTCTAGAAAAAAGAAAGCTTAATTCAACTAAGTACTTTGAATTTAAGGGAAAACTTTTCAACAAGTGGTACTTAACAACTGGCCATCCACATGCAAAAAAATGACCTTACAACATTCACAAAAATTAACTCAAAATAGATCATATATCTAAATGTAAATGGAAAACTATAAAACTCCTAGAAAACAACACAGGAGAAAACCTAGATGACCTCAGGTATGGCAATGACATTTTACTAGTAGATACAATACCAAAGGCATGATCCATGAAAGAAATAATTGACAAGCTGGACTTCCTTAACATCAAATACTGTTGCACAAAATCTGTTTGTGAAAGACAATTTCAAAAGGGTGAGAAGACAAGCCACAGCCCAGGTGAACATATTGGCAAAAGTCACATTTGGTAAAGGACTATTGTCTAAAATATACAAAGAACTCTTCAAACTCAACAATAAGAAAAAGAAAAAACCTGATTTGAAAAATGGGCCAAATACCTCAACAGACACCTCACCAAAGAAGATATACAGGTGGCAAATAAGCACAAGAAAAGATGCTCAACATCATATGTCACCAAGGAAATAAAAATTAAAACAACAATGAGATTAAAACAATGATGTTAAAATCCAGAACAATGAAACCACCAAATGCTGGCAAGAATGTGGAACAACAGGAACTCTCATTTACTGCTGGTGGGAATGCAAAATGTTATAACACACTGAACATACTTTTACCATATGATTCAGCAATCATGCTCCTTGGTATTTACCCAAAGGATTTAAACTTATGTCTACATTAAAACCCAAACATGGATTTTTATAGCAGCTTTATTCATAATTGTCCAAACCTAGAAGCAACCAAGATATCCTTCAGTAGGTGAGTGGATAAACTGGTACATTCAGACAATGGAATACTACTTAGCACTAAAATGAAATGAGTTAGGGCAGTGGTCGGCAAACTCATTAGTCAACAGAGCCAAATATCAACAGTACGATTGACATTTCTTTTGAGAGCCAAATTTTTTAAACTTAAACTATATAGGTAGATACATTATTATTAACTTAATTAGGGTACTCCTAAGGCTTAGGAAGAGCCACACTCAAGGGGCCAAAGAGCTGCATGTGGCTCGCGAGCCGCAGTTTGCCAACCACAGATAGGGGAAGGAGGTGGAGGGATTGAGAGAGAAAAAAAAGAGCTACTAAGCCATGAAGAGACATGGAGGAACCTTAAATGAATATTACTAAGTGAAAGAGGCCAACTTAAAAAGGCTACACAGAATATGCTTCCAACTATATGACATTCTAGAAAAGGCGAAACTATGAAGATAGTAAAAGACTAGTGGTTACCAGGGGTTTGGGGAAGAGAAAGATGAATAGGAGAAGCACAGAGGATTTTTCAGGCAGTGAAACTACTCTGCATGATCTATACATATTTTTATAGCAAAGGTGGAGATTTATTAAGAACAAGTACAGACTCCCACGTGGGGAGAGGGAAAGAGTCCCACAGAATGGACTCCCAAGTAGGGAGGGGGAAAGGGTCCCCCTGAGTTCCCTTCCCTATGGCTTATAAAGGCTGCAGATCCTGGTGCCTTGATATCCCCTCTGATTGGTCACTATTCCCTTAGACTGGTTACTATAGTAACTTCTAGGCTCAAAGGTGGAACCTCACATGGGACATGTGAAGTTCTCCCGCCTCCTTCCTTATTGTTTTCCTATTCCCTTTGGGCTTTCTTCTTCTGGATGAAGGGCTTCCTTCTCTTTATTTTGTAAATATAGACCTTTTGCTGTTCCCAGCTCCCTCATTCTATGGAAATGTACCTGTTGCACCTTTTCAGCTTCCCTAGTCTATGGAAATATACCTTCTGCTGCTCTGCTTGAGTCTGTATGATATTGTAATGGCAGATACATATCATTATACATTTGTCTAAACCCAGAGAATATACAACACCAAGAGTGAACCCTAAACTATGGACTTCAGGTGGTAATGATGTGTCAGTATAGGTTCGTCAATTGTAATACATGTACCACTCTGGTGGGGGACATTAATAATAGAGGAGGCTATGCTTGGGTTTGATGGTTCTTTAAAATTTAAACACCAAATTATGCTGTAACTCAGCAATTCCACTTGTTTTAAAAATATATTTTATTGATTTTAGAGAGGAAGGGAGAGAGAAAGAAACATCAATGATGAGAGAGAATCATTGATCAGCTGCCTCCTGCAGGCCCCCCACTGGGGATCGAGCCCACAACTCAGGCATGTGCCCTTGGCCGGAATCGAACCTGGGACCCTTCAGTCCGCAGGCCGACGCTCTATCCACTGAGCAAAACCAGCCAGGGCAGCAATTCCACTTTTAAGTATATACACAAAGTAACTGAAAATAGTGACTCAATCAGATAATTGTATGCCATGTTCAATGCAGCATTTTTCTAGCCAAAATGTAGAAATAACCCAAGGTCCATCCATCACAGATGAATAAACAAAGTGTGGTACACACACAGAGGATTATTATTCAGCCATAAAAAGGAATGAAATTCTAATATATGCTACATGAATGAACCTTAAAAACATGCTAAATGAAATAAGGCCAAACACAAAAGGACAAGTATTGTATGATTCCACTTATTTGAAGTATCAGGAACAGGCAAATTCATAGAAACAGAAAGTAGAGTAAAGGTTATCAGGGGCTGGGGGGAGGGGAATCGAGAGTTATTGCTCAATTGTTACAGAGTTTCTGTTTGGAATGATGAATAAGTTTTGGAAATAGTGGTGATGATTGCCCAACATTATGAATATAATTAATGCAGTTGAATTTTACACTTAAAAACAGATATAATGGTAAATTTTGTTATGTGTATTTTACCACATTAAAAAAACACACTCAGTTAATACAATGGGGAGGGGAAATGACTGAAAACTACTAATCACAGCTAACTTTTATTTTGGATACAACCAGGAGGGGTTCTTTTGCTCTGTCAAATAAATATACTTAAAATCTAGCAAACATCAGAGCAGAATTAAGGGCCAAGTCTAAAAAAGAGACAGGAGGGAACATTTCAATAGTTTTAACAGCTATACAAAGTTACATATTGTAAGGGAAATATAATGTAAGTATATTCAATGGCTGTATACTTATCTAATACTTGACATTTCAAATTTTGAAAATATGAAAATTATTACCAAGCAAAACTCAGACCACATTAGCAATGGTTTAAAAAAGGGAGCAATTTAATTATTATAATACAGAGCTTTAAGAAGTTTTTTAATGTGTAAAAGAAAGAACAGTTTAGTGCATTAAATTGTTACAGTCTTTACATTGTTTCTTTTAAAAAAGTTAACAGTAGTATGAAAAAGCCACCCACAAAGCCAGCTGTCTGAGAGAAGAAATCAGCTAAATGGCAGCATTTTGGAATTACTAATAAAGCTATAGTTAAAAAATGAAAAGTTTATAAAAATGAAAGCAGCATGCATATTCAAGGCTTTTTCATAACATTTTCATTAGATGACAAACATTTAGGTAAAAACATGAGATTAATATTTATTATCCATTAAATTAGATTAAACTGGCCAAGCCCACTACATCTGGTCATTCAGAAAAAACAAACAAAAATCCCCAACATTTTAAAACACAAAGCTAACTGAGCCCTGCCAGAGTGGCTTAGTTGGCTGAGCATTGTCCTGTGCACCGAAAGGTTGCTGGTTCCATTCCTGGTCAGGGCATATGCCCTACAGAAGGCAACCAATTCTTTCTTTCTCTCTCTCTCTCTCTCTCTCTCTCTCTCTCTCTCTCTCTCAGCATGTCCTCAGGTGAGGAATAAAAGAAAATGAAAATAAATAAAATAAAATACAAAGCTAATTGAACTGAACATTTCTTCCATGAAAAAGCACATTTTGAAAAATGGTCCCCTAGTCACAAAAGAAAGGGTCCTTCTCAACATGAACAGCACCGGTTTTTACAAGGTTTATAAGTTAGTAGGAACTTTCAGTCTCCTGAAAAGCTGACTTTTAATTCATTATGATCAGTTAAGAATTTTTTCTCTATTCACTGAAGTTATTACACAAAGTAGAATTTCACTGAAAGGTAATTCTTGACAATTGTGATCTGACACCTGTACAAACGTTTGATTTCCATACGATTGGCATAGCATTTATTTCAGAGTTTCACCCCATCCAAATTCTAATGCCAGTTTCTTTTCCTTCTTCAGTGTTGATTATCTTCAGTTTAATAAAAAGCAAATTCAGCTTCGAATGAAAACAAGTAACAGAAGCATTACAAGTAGTAATAGTGGTATCCATGAAAGATCTAATCATTAAGGGCCAATAATACCACAAACTCTTATTGTGCCAACGTGTGTCAAAAGGCTGTATTCTCACTTACATTGAAAATGAATAAGCCCATGCATAACTTTTAATCTTCGTGCAGGGCCTGATAAACAAGACAAAAATAAATCAGGTTTTTCTTTTTCCTGTTTCCAACAATTTTTACTCTGGGAAATGTTTGGTCACTCAAAGTATAAGCTTAATAACATATCAGAGAATACAGACAATAAGGTCCATCTCACCAGATATACAGTATTACACTAGACAAAATATGAGGACAAGCTCTAGTGGTCATTAAACCCCCTCTGAAAGTCCAAGAATCAGAATGTCTCCATCTTATCAGAATAAAAATGTATTAAAATTTGAATTTTTACAAGTTGTTTTTTAATGTGTTCTATTTACATTGCAGAACTTTCACCAGCTGCAGTAGTTTAACTTTGGCACAACATTAAGTTCCATTTCTTTTGGGTACTGGATCCTATTTTTTGAGAATGTGTATGCTCCCAAAGGGTTTCAGTGTCATTAAAGATTGAGCCCATTCACAGTAAATCAGACAGCTTGAGTTGAAGAATTGATTCTCCTCCAACGTTTTAGGCAACTATAAAAAAAAACACACACAATAAAAAACTAAAAACTTAAAGAAAACCATACTTTAATGTTTACCTCTTTTAGAAACAAAAATGATAGAAATTAGCCATGAAAACACATCCTTTGTAATCACTCAGTAATACTGAGATCACTTCCAAATATATCTTATATAATGCACTAGATTTTGTGTGCAATTCCTATGTATGTGTTCTGCATATACTAGATTTGCTTTAAAGACATTTTCACCTATATGTAATAATTTTTACCTATATTGCATATACCTATATGAAATAATTTATTTAAAATTATTAGTAAGAAGTATATATTTCATTGTCAGTGTCTGTAATAAACTATGAAATCTAAACTCTTGTATTTTCCTTTCTTTTTTTTAACTCTTGTATTTTTTTTTCTATTTATATACATCAAGTCCTCAAATAACTTTGATTGGTTCAACACCATTTTGTTATAACATGATGAGATGCTGCAGGTACTTAATTCTTGCTTATATCTATCAGCCTGTGGTAAAATTGGTTTCCTTATACATCGCTTCGCTTAAAGTCACAGACCTATTGACAACATTAAGTGAGGACTTACTGTACAAGGCCGGCTTGTGCAAAAGACACACATATACAGTAATCCTCCTTATCCATGGTTTCGCTTTCTGCAGCTTCAGTTACTTGTGGTCCACCACAGTCCAGAAATATTAAATGAAAAATTCCAGAAATAAACAATTCGTAAGTTTTAAATTGCATGCTGTTCTGAGCAGCATGATGAAATCTCACATCATCTCTCTCTATCTCTGTCAGGCCGTGAATTATCCCTCTGTCCAGCAGATCTATTCTGTATATACTGTCGGGGCATTTCACTCTTATTAATTCTCTGGGTAGTCTGATCAGTTAAGAAAGAGAGAGTGAGAGAGAGAGAGAGCTGCACGCGAGAGAGAGAGAGAGAGAGAGAGAGACCACATTCAAATAAATTGTATTACAATACTAGAGGCCCGGTGCACAAATTCATGC